TACAAAGAAGTTTTGGACAGTTATGCAGAAGAACGCGGAGATGGGTTTATTTCGCTTAGACCACAACAAGTCGAATTTAGTCATTACACCCACTTATTGCGATCTGAAAGTGTTTGGTTTCCAAAACAGACCGTGATTTCTTACCTCGAACTGTGTAGCTTGATGCCATAAACCTATTCCTAACACTTACACCATTATCTTAACCTAAACTCTGCTGCTGAACTCAAACTGCTGTGTTCTTCGCCAGACAGTTACATTCACTTACGCTTACAAATTATTGACATTTATTTAACATTTCAGTGTTTTTCACGCTTGAGGTTTAAGAATATAATATAAGTCAAAATCTGAGGTTGTTTGGTAGCGAATTGATGGTTATCTCGAACAGATGAAACAGGATGAAACTCATTGAGCAGACTGTGCATTTGATATAGGTCAATAATAATAATAATAATGGCTTTATTACACACAGTACTTTTGAGACATTGTAGAGTTTTGAGGATGCAACACAGTATTGCATCTAATTTTCTCTTTACATTACGTAATACAGAAAAAAAACATAATTAGACAGGGCATTAGTATGAGTTTAAGTGTCTATCTACACCCCCTCAACTGACAACTGTTAGTGCCCTTTGCAGTATGATAAGGTCTTTCTTTATTAGCCCAGTAAAGATTAAGGTTGGGGGAGCAATAAAGAGGAATAGGTAGAATGCAAGGACTAACAAACTATAAAAGTAGAGACTCGGTGATACCAGAGTATCTTAGCTTCCCTATATAAAAGGTTAAACGATATGTCATTCTGGAAACTAACAGTGTATGGGAAGTTCAAGAAAGCTCTGACGAAATACACACTCCAAGGTATTTAACAATCAACTTAGCTGCAACTTGATGTCAATTGGTTGATTGTGACTAGCAGTGGAATCCATGATGTGCCTATCGTCCCATTTGGGACTCGTCAGTTGGATGCGCATCCTGGATCCCACTGCTAGTCGCCATCAACCAGATATCTTCGAAGAATCTGCACATGGAGCCAACATGTCAACCGGAGACCTAGCACTTCTGTCCAATAAATCGACGGGAAAATCTTAATTGAATTACTTTCAACTTCACTGCTATCTACGATAGTGAAACCATGCGAAAGAACCAGTTCATGTAAGTCGCGTTTACGTCTGACAGTGAAATTAACAACTCGACATTTGGAGAGATTTAGCTTAAGACCACTTGACAAAGACCCCAGACTAATTTCTAATAAAAAGCTGTTCATCTTGAAACAATTTGAATGAAAAGTAACAGGCATAGAAACAGACAGATCATTGGCATACTTAACAAAATCGACTTCATCAGACTTGAGAAAGTCATGTAAGATGAAGGAAAACAGAAAAGGAAAGAGAAAGACGCTCTGAAGAACACCTGCTAAAGTAAATAAGGTAGTGGAGGACTTTCCATTATGTATAGTGTACTGATTCCTATCAGAAAAGTAGGAATATAAACATTTATTAATCCAGTACCCTGCTTTTACGATGTAGGTTACCGTGATGTAAACCTACATCACTTGGCTAATGTATTCACTTTCTAAATTTTTTCCCTCTATAACATAAGAAGAAGAAGACTCGAGAAGATCTGGATTTCGCAGATGATAAATGTCTTCTAGTGTCACACAAACTCGAAGACTTGCAGGCAGGCGAAAAGCAACAAACTAGCTGAAGAGACAGCGAAGACAGAACTCCAAGTGAACATAGAGAAGACAGAGGTGATGAAGATAACCGAAAAACCTCAACAACGACAACAACAACCAGCATCAATCACCATCAACGGGAGACATTTGATAGAGGGAACTTCCTTCACTTATCTGGGAAGCATGGTTCCAGCCACAGTCATACAGAACGGATGAAGATGTCAAAGCCAGTCAGAATCGGAAAGGCAAGATACGCCTTCATCAACCTTAAATCACTTCGTGAGTCTTCCATAAGTATCTTATTTTCAACGCAAATGTCAAGTCCGCCCTTCTATATGGGTCAGAAACTTGGCGTGAGTGTTACGGAAAGGATTTCCAGCAACCTGATGCATACTCATCAGCAGCTGCCTTCAATGACTCCATACTGAAGAACAAATGGCCAGAAAGAATAAGTAGCAAGAAACTGTTGGAACAAACCAACCAAGAACCAACCGCTCAAGAAATATGTAGGAAAAAATGAGGATGGATGGATCGGGCATACGTTGAAGAGGCCATCGAATGACGTCACGCGCAGTGCAGACCATAGCTCAAGTGGAATCTTGATGGGAAGCGACGACCCGATCGTCGGTGAGAGGGTGACATGGAGGAGATCGGGTGGCGAGGAGGAGATGAGAGAGTTTGAGAAATCGTGGAGCTAGCCATCTGAAGAGGATGGCAGAAAATAGAAAAAGTGGAGATTTGTTGTTGAAGCCCTATGTTCCACTAGGAACCCAAGGGAATAATAATATTATAATAATAATAATCTCTTCAAGGCTTTTCAACTGTCAATCATTCTCTAACGATTTCTGGTGAGATCGTCGCTACTTACTGTTGAAGGGTCTCAATGGTTTTCTTACTGATGTCACAAAATAATTAAGAACGATAATGGTATGACGATGAACCAAAATTTTTGGTTTTTAAAGTATAAAGAATTTTTCTGACTACATACTGTAGTGTTATTGAAGTTTCTTAAGAAAGCGTATAGCAAGAAGATATTTGAAGGCGCAAACTTCAAAGTTATGTAAGTCATTAAAAAAAATGTTGATTAACACTGGGGATGAAATATACATCCAGATGACGAGTCCCAAATAGGACGAAACGATCATCCTGTATTTCACTGCTAGTCACCATCCACCTAACTACATAGTCGAATCATCCGCATAAGAAGCTGACATGTCAATCGAGGAAGAGCACTTCTGTCTAGTCAATCAACGTGGAAGTCTAAGCGGAATTAAATAGTTGGTTTATTGTTGGCTCGTTTCCAGAGTTCCTGGGTTCGAAACCCACTGGATGCGTGCGTACTGATGATAAGTCGCAAACTAGGACGAAACCACTTTCCAAGTACTCTCTGGTTTTCAGTGGTTCTCTAACTGATATATCAATCCATGGTTTAACCTGAAAAAAAAACAGAATCCCTACAAACTAATCCTTGAAATTCAAATGAACTGTCGTCAAGATTTGACAGAATAGATCTAAAATATTTGGGCGCCGAGTGAGAAGTAGACATTTGCAAAAAATTATATTTGTAAAATCTCAGCGGTATTGAAATGAGTAATTCCAACGTTTCGTTCGGCAATCTGGTCCGAACTTCTTCAGGGAAATTAATCAAAATTAACATAACAGAGGTTTTATATATAAAAGGCACATCTTTTGTTTTCAAAAACTTTGTCCAATCATGATTCATAAACACAAGTATTAACAAGTATAATAAACAAAATTGTATGAGCTGTGATCAAAATTTGACCTCGGACTTACAAATATTGGTCTACCTTTGTTAAACACTTTAAACAGAGTGTGCATGCGTGTGTGTGTGTAAACAGTTGTAAAACATTTCTTAATGTCTCCATAGGAAGATATGGACAGTCAGGAATTTGACCAAGTATTATTAATCAGTGATACATATCCATTTTTATTTATGAATCAGGATTTCCTATGCATCAGCTAACATCAAACCTCCATGTTCGTTCAAACTGCTAGTATCTAAAATTTTATGATTAGACGTATTTTCAAAATTATGGTGTTTGGGATTATCGCTGAGATATTACAAATATAATTTTTTACAAATGTCTACTTATCACTCGGCGCCCAAATATTTTAGAACTAATCGGTCAAATCTTGACGACGGTTCATTTGAATTATTTTGCTATCGAATTAAATTAACAAAAAAACTATGCAATTGGCACAATCATCATGTTTTCACTCTCCGTTGTCTGCAACAGAATGCATATCCTAAATCCGTAGCTGTCGAGTCACCTGACAACTCCAGTAGGTCGAATAAAGCAGCTCAATCTTCAGAAAGAAGACAAAGCAATAAGTCCGACAGGGTGCTTCTACTAAACTCGAATCCTCAACACCATAATTTTGAAAATACGTCTAATCATAAAAATCCTTGAAAGCCTAAAATCGTATGAATATTATAATTAGATCGCTTTCAGGAGGAATTTTCCAAACGATAATTCCGTTACAAGAACTACTACCAGCAGTAATGTACACAAACTTTGTGCATTTTTTCAGGAGGGGGTGGGTGGGTGGAGGTACTCTTTAAATAATATAATATGTCCGTATTCTTTTCCTGTTCTTGTTCATTGTGTTGTGTTGTTGGCTTTTTTGAAACGTGTGTGTCTGTCTAACTTCATCTGTCTGTATCTCTATCCATCTACCATTTCAAAAGGTAAATTGATGAATGACTGCCTGCCTAACTGCCTAACTGATGCTGACTGACTGACTGACTGGATGAATGATTGAATTTTGACTGGATAAAAAAGGTTGGGGCAGGGGGGTGGTGGTGGTGATGGTACGTGATGCATTTTATATATTTGAGTGATTAGGTGGAAATAATAATCATAAAAATAATAATAATAATTGGTCCTTATTACTACTGCTGTGTAGCAGCTACTACCAACACACGACTACGATTTATCGTCCTATTGCTTGACATGTCTACAATATGATCGACAGGTGCCTAAAATTCAACAGTGTTGCACTGACACACACAAACACAAACACAACTACGCACACAAACACACACACACAAATACACAAGATAAGTAACAATAATGGTAACAATAATAATTGGAAGAGAGAAAACCCAAAATAAGTGAAACAGTGTTTACTAATGATGGTCTTTCTCTCACCCTTATGTGAAAAGTGAAATTATGCTTTCTTAGAAAAAAAAGAGGCATTTAATACCCCCCTTTATAAATAGTATTATTATTATATCTACACACAACCAGAGTGAGATTTTTGTAAAGAAATCGGAGAAGTTTCTCACAAATTCACTGTGTCTATATGTGTGTGTGTGATTTCCCTATCACAGTGTTTGGAAGTGCACTCCTCTCATCCATCTAACGCATTCAAATACTACTACACAAATTAGAATCACCAAACTAACTTTGTTGTATTCTGCTACTGTCTGACATCAGGAGGTAGTTGTTGCTTTCTTCCAGTAGCTTCACTTCACAGAAATATATAATTTGCAAATACTACACTGCCTCCACCACTTCTCTTAGTTGGCCTGTGAAATATATAATGATAATAATAATGATAATAACAGTAATAACGGGATATAATGCTTTTGTGCGCTTGCACACAACGACACTTCTTTACAGGTGAATGACACCAAACAGTTCTCCCACACTGTCACACTCACACACATACGCACACACACACAAACAAACAAACAGACATTATGGAATTAATGATCCCCATCATTATGGTGATGATGATAATAATAATAAAACGGTGGGCTACCTGAATGCGGCAAGCTGAAAAATTTGATCATATTTATCCTTCATTATAATAATAATAATAATAATTTCCCCACCACTTCTTGGATATTTTAATTTATAATATCCCAAAAATAGTAATTCTAATAATAATAATAATATCGAATGTGTGGAAAACATTTCTCAGTTCAACTTCTTGTTGTGCACCTTCAGTCTCCTTTAGATGAGTTTTACTCAGATAACATTTTGAGGCATAATTTCTACGCAAAAAAAGAATAAAATCTACAAAATCAACATATTCCACTGAGTTTACATATACATATATGCCAATTTTGAAAGAATTGAAGTAGAAAGAGGATAAAGGTGAGTTCATTATTGTCTTCTGGTTTCGTCTTATTTTTCTATTTACATCCATGTGTGTGTGTATGTATGTTGTGCAAGCCGCTATGTAACGCTTCATTGTCGACTTGACTCATGCAGACTGTCTGATTAAGAGCCAATATCTGGAGACAGTTGTCGATGATATCTTGTTATTTTCAACAAAGATCTTTCCTCTGATTATTATTACACAATAAGGAAGTTGAAACTTTTTTCTGCCGACATAACTTACCCTCTTCTCTTACGATTTATTAATCAATGTATTCCATCCATTCTTCTCTATCGCCCTCCCTCCTATTTATTCTTTCCTGGACATCTTAGAAAGGACTCTGTAGCCTGTATCTCTTATGGTAAAACTGGAAAATATTTCATATGAATTTATGCTCCTAATTTTAACTTTTAATTTATTTTTAATTTTTATTAAAGCTTGATTCCACACAGTATTTTGGTACGACTATGGAATTTTCAGCGTGTGATATTATTATTATTATCTCCTTTAATTCCTAGAGGAACATAGGGCTTCAGCCAAACGTCTCCATTTCATTCGGTTCTCTGCTAACGTTTTCACCGCGCCCTCTACCCTCTACCCACATGCTTTCATCTCCTCTTCACATCATCTCCTCCATGTCACCATAGCACCGACGACCAACTCACCGCTTCCCTTTCGGGTTCCACTCGAGCAATGGCCTATCTTGTGATGTCACTTGATGGTTTGTTTCCTCAGAGTATGGCCAGCCAATCCATCTCCATTTCTTCCTGCTTATTTGTTTCACAGTTGGTTCCTGCTGAGTTGGTTCGCTCATTGCCAGAGATCCCATCCTGTTGCTGATCTTTTCTGGCTGGCTGGCCATCTGATCTTGAGTAGTATTGAGCGAAGACAACTGTTAATGAAGGTCTGTAGTTTGTTTGAGATGCTCTTTATGACGCGCAGTGCAAGTCTCTGATCCATATAGTGAGTAGCACTGACTTCACATTGGAGTTGAAAATCCGGATCTTATCTTCGTTTTGATGCTGAGTGCTGTTGACCTCCACACAGACTTGAGAGTAGTGAAAGCTTGTCTTGCTTTTCCGATCCTCGCTTTGATATCCTCGTCAGTTCCGTCCGCCTGTAGTTGAAACGATGCTTCCCAGGTAGGTGAAGGAGGTTGTTTCTTTCAGGTTCCTTCCATTTATGCTGATTGTTGTCAGCGTGTCATATCGGTAGCCCAAATTTAGCAGGCCGACCAGTGATATCAGGTGTGCGTTGGCCGGGGGCCGAACCCCGTACCGTGTACATAGTCAGCGAGCCTCCTAACCACTGTGCCACCTCCTATGGGTAAATATAAAAATTCAACCATACCATGTATAGCACAGATGTCTGTGTGATAAGAGAAATATCAGAAGAGAGCTTATTAAAACCTACTCTTTTTTAATCTGTTAACAGAACAGCAACGCATTCTTAGAATCATTACTAAAAACGTTAATCTTCTGTTGGCTTCACTTTCTGAGGTTTTATATATGTGTACTATTTTGTGTATTTATTCATTTGTAAAAGGAGATAAGCTGGAGGCAGTGTGCACAGTGGTGAAAATTCCATTCTGTATGTAAAATCATTGTTTGGAATGAAGGGATTGGTACTTCTATTGTTCTTCAATAATCCAATCATCCAGACATTTTGATGAAAACAAAACACATAGTTTAGCGGAACTACGTTCCCATGAATGTCTGGATGGGGATTATTCATGAATTAAAAGAGAGCGAGAACCCTTCGATAGTCAAGGAACTCAATGGGTTTCTTCGATACTCTGTTAAGCTTGCTGTAGTGAACGCAAAAATTAATTGTTTTTTTTTGAGGATTGTGTAATTAATCACGAATATCCTAAATGGTTCTGGTCCATTCGATCACGAATCTCAGAATTTCAACGGAATATTTCCCAAAGATATTCAGCCCTATACGAATTACTCCCGGATGAACCTGAGAGATATTATGGAATAAGGTTCACTTTATTGTGATCTCCTAAATCCACATTATATTCTCATTATTCTCCATGTAGGGATCCTTTCTCCTAGTAAATTTCCATGTATTATACTTCATTTAGGCTTTTCCACTCCACACTAATGTGTAATTTTTTTTGAAGTTTGGTGACTAGAACTTCCGCTGCATATTCGTGCAAAGTTCTACTACGGTGAGAATTCAATTCAATTCAGTTTATTGTACATAATTTAGATATTTAGGTGGAGAGAATCAGTGTTAGCAGAAGTCTGCTAATTAGTTATAGAATGATGTTGCCTGGAGACCTAGTTAAAAGTGAGGTTCATCAAGTTAGGTGTAAAGACAAATACTCTACGATAATATTGGCTGATGGTTGCATTAAAAAACTACGCATTGGTAAAAGATAGAATTCCTGGACCTTTGGAATGAGTCCCAACGCCTGAATGGTCTACAAGCTTACTTTGTAATCAGAAGGTCCTGGATTCAAACACTGGTAAGTGAGTTCAGTACTGCCAGGTGGTTTCCCAATGGTTTTCTAACTGATATCATCCCTATTCGAACTAGAAATTACTTATTTTGCTTGAGTTAATTAACACACATCCATTTGATTTATTATTATGCTCGATCAAAATACTCGGCCTCTTTTGACATGTTGGCTTCTCGTATGGACGCTTCGACAGTGTATGAAGATTAACGTGATGCTAATTTGGTGGGTGTGGGTCAGTATTAGAATCTCGGATGAGTATGGAAACAATCAGTGCAGGGTTTCGAGCGAGCCTCTGCGGAAACATTATCACTCACTGAATGAGGATGCATGTACTTCCAGATGACAAACAAATCCCAAGTGGGCTGAAATGTTCACGCTACATTCCACTGCTAGTCAACAGAAGCTGGATTCTTCACATAAGCAGCTTCAGTTACTGTTACTGGAGTAGTAACAAAGCGATTTATTACAATAATAATAATAATTTATTTTATTCATTTACGTTCCGATTGGAACACAGGTCTTCAAGCTAGAGGCTTGAAGTTTCGGTAGCAGTGGTGTTTTTTAATTTTTACGGGATAACGTTGCTAGCCACGTGCTAGCCAACCTTCCCTCTTTACTTGTCTGATTACTGGCTTAATGAGATAAAGGAGTGCCTTTTCGTCTTGGGATCGAACCCCGCACCACTTGCGTGGTTGGTGAGCCGTCTACCGCTGTGCCACCAACGCACATTACCATAATAATGTAGTAATAATATAATGAATTATGACTGCGACACTATATCAGTGATTATAACACTCTGATCTGACTGAGAAGCATTACTGATTAATGTGAGTGGTTTGCAATTACTCATTTGAATCAGTCGGTAGTTGTGGTTGTGTATATCATCTTGTTAAATCTAAATTTCTCATTGCATCACTTATCTCACTTGTACATGTTAAGTGTGAAGTTTAAATATATCAATAAGTGTAGGCATCTTTTTATAGTTTAAACATACAGTATGACTTATTTATCGAAAAACACGTTGAAGAAGATGGAAGTGGATCGGACATATGCTGAAGGAGACTGCTGGATGATATCGTGTGCCAGGTTATCGCCCGAATGGAAGCCGAGTGGGAAACAACGAAGAGGGTGTCCGATGATGACATGGAGGATATCGTTTGATGAGGAGATGAAAGCTTACGGACAATCGTCGAGGAAGCTGAAGAGGACTTTGGCAAAGAGGATGAAATGAAGATGTGTCGTTGAAGCTCAGTGTTCCACTTAGAACTCAAGGTTATAATAATAATCGGCTTACAAACTACTCATTACTTATTTCAGTAATATATGTACACACATCATTGCATAAATGAAATAATTACCCATATGCTTTATTTTTGTATAAAGCGTTCACCGACAAAATTCACTAGATTTTGTACTTAGTATACACTCTTCATTAGCATAGCCCTTCATTCGCCTCGATAGAATCTATAATAATGATAACTAGATATCTGTTTAGTCCTATTTTGGAACTCTTCAGGGAAAAGTGTGCACTAGTGCAACCTAGTTATTAGGGATGGTGACCGGGACAAAAGCTGAAATTAATTTAATCTAAATCCTTGCAAATCTCGCAGTCTAAATGCCAATCTCGAACTTGTCGATAACTACCGAATAGATTTCCTGTAACTCTGGGATCTTTCACGTTAAGGTGAAGTAATTGCTCATTGAAGGCATTAGTAAGCGTAGCGCTATATCACCAGTTGACGAAGTTAGAGTTCAAGCGTCATTCAAATTCTATCCAGCTGCAGTAGACTGAAGCATTAACAACCTTGTCCTTGTAATCTGAAGCTCGCAGGTTTAGTCTTTGGTGAGATCGTGGATAAAGCGGAAGCCGAATAGGACTGTGTGTGAGTTGGGCATGAATCCGTGGGTTGCTTAGATGAGATCATGTGACGAGGAGATGAAATCTTATGGACAATCGTGGAGGCAGCTAAATAAAGACCGCAGAGAAACAGATAGATTGAGAGTTTCAAAATGGAATACAGAAATATTTTTAAGTATTGGCTTTTCGTAGGGATTGTTTGTTTGATTGGTTGCAGGATTTTATCAAGGGTTGACTTCGGTTACAGAACCATTGGAAAACCTGCAGGGAGCACTGTAGAGCTGTTTCGTCCTAGTTTTGGACTCTTCAGAAGTACGCACTCACCGAGGTTCGAACCGACGACCTTCCAGTCTCAAAGACGAGCTCGTAGAACATTAGACCAGTGGGACCCAACCCACCCAATGGCGCATGAATTCTAACTTCTGCCAATTCATGAAATAGCGCGTTCACTTTGAAATCAGGTGGTGGGTGCTTACTGCTGAACAGTTCCAGACTAGGACGGAATAGCTGTCCAGTACTCCGTGCAGGTTTTCCAATGATTCTCTAACTGATGTCAGCTCATGATAGAAATATTTATTGATTTCGCAAAACCTGTCAAATAGAAATTCATATCTTTTTAAGTGTTGGTTTAGAGAGATTTGATTCGATTTCAAATTATATCAAGAACT